ATGTAGTTTTTTTTGTATAAGATACGCCGAGTAAGAATAAGTAGTTCTTTTAACTATAAGATAAGCCGGGTAACAATTAAGAAGTAGAGTTTTGTCTCTCATATGTAGTTCTTTTAGATACAAGTAAATCCGGCTAACAATTGAGTGAAACAATTCTCTCATATGTAGCTCTTTTTTTGTATAAGACTAGCTAACAATTGATTGAGAATTTTTTTTCTCCCATATGTAGTGTTCTTAGGTATAATAACATAAGCTGGCTAACAATTGAACGGGAGAATTTTCTCTCTCACATGTAGTGTTTCTATACATAACAAGATAAGTTTGCTAATAATTAAGCGGGAAAGTTTTCTCTATCATCTGTAGTCTCTTATGTATTAAAAGATAAACTTGCTAATAATTCAAAGGAAAAATGATCATATAAGTAGTTCTTTTAAGTATAAGATAAACCGGCTAACAATTAACTAATAAAATTTTGTCTCTCATACATAGTTCTTTTAGATATAAGTTAATCCAACTAACAATTGAGTGAAAAAATTCTCTCATATGTAGCTCTTTTTTTGTATAAGACTAGCTAACAATTGAGCGGGAAACTTCTCTTTCCCATATGTAGTTCTCTCCCATATGTAGTGTTTTCAGATACAAAGTAAGCCCGCTAACAATTGAACAAGAGAATTTTCTCTGTCATATTTAGTGTTTTTTAAACATAACAAGATAACTTTGCTAATAATTGAGATGAAAAATTTTCTCTCATATGTAGTCTTTTACATATTAGAACATAAACTTGCTAACAATTTAGCGGAGAAATTATCATATAAGGAGTTCTTTTAAGTATAAGATAAGCCTACTAACAATTAAACATTAGAGTTTTGTCTCTCATACGTAGTGCTTTCAGGTATTAGTTAATCTGGCTAACAATGGAGTGGAAATTCTTCTGACATATGTAGTTTTTTTTGTATAAGATACGGTGAGTAAGAATAAATAGTTCTTTTAACTATAAGATAAGCCGGCTAACAATTAAGCAGTAGAGTTTTGTCTCTCATACGTAGTGCTTTTAGATACAAGTTAATCCGGCTAACAATTGAGTGAAAAAGTTCTCTCATATGTAGCTCTTTTTTGTATAAGACTAGCTAACAATTGAGCGGGAAATTTTTTACTCCCATATGTAGTGGATTTAGGTATAATAACATAAGACGTCTAGCAATTGAACGGGATAATTTTCTCTCTCATATGTAGTAATTCTAGATATAACAAGATAAGTTTGTTAATAATTAAGCGGGAAAGTTTTCTCTATCATATGCAGTCTCTTATGTATTAGAAGATAAATTTGTTAACAATTGAGAGGGAAAAGTATCATATGAGTAGTTCTTTTAAGTATAAGATAAGCCTACCAACAATTAAACATTAGAGTTTTGTCTCTCATACGTAGTGCTTTTAGGTATAAGTTAATCTAGCTAACAATAGAGTGGAATTGTTTTCGCTCATATGTAGTTTTTTTTTGTATTAGATACCCTGAGTAAGAATAAGTAGTTCTTTTAAATATAAGATAAGCCGACTAACAATTAAGCAGTTAAGTTTTGTCTCTCATACGTACTGCTTTTAGACACAAGTTAATCCGGCTAACAATTGAGTGAAAAAAATCTCTCATATGTAGCACCTTTTTTGTATAAGACTAGCTAACAATTGAGCGGATTTTTTTTTACTCCCATATGTAGTGAATTTAGGTATAATAACATAATCCGTCTTACAATTGAACGGAAGAATTTTCTCTCTCATATGTAGTGATTTTAGATATAACAAGATAAGTTTGCTAATAATTAGGCGGGAAAGTTTTCTCTATCATATGCAGTCTCTTATGTATTAGAAGATAAATTTGTTAACAATTGAGAGGAAAAATTGTCATATAAGTAGTTCTTTTAAGTATAAGGTAAACCGCCTAACAATTAAGCAATCGAGTTTTGTCTCTCATACGTAGTGCTTTTAGATATAAGTTAATGCGGTTAACAATTGAGTAAAAAAATTCTCTCATATGTAGCTCTTTTTTTTGTACTCCCTCCTTCCCATTAGAAGATTCCCACTTTCTTTTTTTGGACGTTCCGTTAGAAGGTTGTCATTTCCATTTTAGTAAACAATTAACAATCTTAAGTGACAAATTAATCATTAAATATTTAAAATAATACATTTATAACATCATAGTTATCAATACTAATTTCATTATAATATATACATATTAAAATTATTACTCAAAATATACTCGAATGACTTTATTTAATTATTGCCTAAACAACCGTGCCGTTTTGCTATGGGAACCTTCCAACGGGAAGAAGGGAGTATAAGACTAGCTAACAATTGAGCGGGAGACTTCTCTCTTCCATATGTAGTGCTTTGAGATACAACATAAGCCGTCTAATAATTGAATAAGAGAATTGTCTCCGTCATATTTTGTGTTTTTTAAACATAACAAGATAGGTTTGCTAATAATTGAGTTGAAAAATTTTCTCTCTCATATGTAGTCTTTTACATATTAGAACCTAAATTTGCTAACAATTTAGCGGGGAATTATCATATGAGTAGTTCTTTTAAGTATAAGATAAGTCTATTAACAATTAAACATTAGAGTTTTGTCTTTGATACGTAGTACTTTTAGGTATAAGTTAATCCGGCTAACAATAGAGTGGAAATTTGTCTCACATATGTAGTTTTTTTTGTATAAGATACACCGAGTAAGAATTGGACATGATAATTTCCTTTCTCATATGCTAACACTAATTTAACTATTCAGTAGCAAGTTACTCCGTATTATTTAACTAATACGTACTATTCATTAATTTCAATCATTATTGTATTCACTTTTTTACAATAGTGTTAAATTTGAAAATTAATTTAATCATAAAAATTAATAAGTACAAATTCTAATGAGTGGTGTTAATTAATTTTTCCTATATACTCTTTGTGGAATATTTAGTGTATGAGCTTATACTTTATGATATTAGCTTATTGTATTCTTATTTTTCGAAAATGTAGAATCCTACAAAGTTATTTTTATTTTAATCTTTAATTATATAATAAGTAAAAATATGCAACCTACTGCTTTTTCCCGTGCGTATGCACGGGTACTATACTAGTTTAACTAATGAGTAGCAAGTTCTTATATAACTAATACTTATTATTCATTAATTTTAATATTCATTGTATTCACTTTTTTAGAATAGTACTTAATTTTAAAATTAATTTAATCATCACAATTAATAAGTAGCAAATTCTAATCAGTGGTGTTTAATAAATTTTTCCTAATATACTCATCATTGTATATTTATTGTATGAACTTATATTTTATGGTATTAGGTTATTTTACTTTTATTTTTCGAAAACGTAGAATCATAAAATTTAAAGTTATTTTATTTTAATATTTAATTAGATAATGAGTAAAAATATATGCACCGACTGTAAAAATTTTTCTATTTATATATAAGAAAACAAATAGCTCCTTAAATGACAATTTTAAACTTAATGATTCCTATGTGTCACTCTATCCTTAATTCACTCATTCTCCATTAGAATGACACGTGGCCATTTTTCTCTCAAATGTACGGAACACACCCAAGGAAAATGAAGGGAACTCCAAGCAATAAAATATCCCTATTTTCTTTAAAGGGTTATAACTTTTATATTTTTTCTCCAATTTTTACAAAAAATACATCAAAATTAATAATTTTTTATGATCTTTCATATGAGACCAATTATTTTAGAGATAAGGTAAGCTGACTAACAATTGTGCGGGATAACTTTCTCTCATATGTAAGAGTTTTAAGTATAAAAAGATAAGTTTGCTAATAATAGAGCGGGAGAACTTTCTGTCTCATATGTAGTTCTTTTGAAGTATATATAAGATAGTCTAGCTTACAATTGAGTGAGAAAATTTTCTAGCCCATATGTAGTGCTTTTAGGTATAATAATAAGCCGACTAACAATTGAACGAGATAATTTTCTCTCTCATATGTAGTGTTTTTAGATATAACAAGATATAAGCTTACTAATAATTATTGAGCGGGGAAATTTCATCTCTCATATAGTCATATGTAGTGCTTTTAGATATTATTATTATATTATAGAAGATAAATTTGCTAACAATTGAGCGAGGAATTCTCATATATGTCGATCTTTTAAGTATAAAATAAGTTGTCTAACAATTAAGCAGTAGAATTTTTTCTCTCGTGCGTAGTGCTTTAGGTATAAGTTAATTCGGCTAACTAACAATTGAGTGAGATAATTTTCTCTCATTTGTAGTTCCTTTTTGTATTAGATAAGCCGATTAAGAATTGAGTAGGATAATTTTCCTCTCATATGATAGCACTGATTTAACTAATGAGTAGCAAGTTCTTATATAACTAATACTTATTATTCATTAATTTTAATATTCATTGTATTCACTTTTTTAGAACAGTACTTAATTTTAAAATTAATCTAATCATCATAGGTAATAAGTAACAAATTCTAATCAGTGGTGTTTAATAATTTTTTCCTAATATACTCATCATTGTATATCTATTGTATGAACTTATATTTTATGGTATTAGGTTATTTTACTTTTATATTTCGAAAACGTAGAATAATAAATTTTAAAATTATTTTATTTTAATATTTATTTAGATAATGAGTAATAATATATGCACCGACTTTTATTTTCCGTGCGTATGCACGGGTACTATACTAGTTCGGGAATAAAAACTATGCCTAGTCCCACTTTGGAATTTAATCAATAAATTAGTCCTATCTATGACAATTTTGTTTTTATCAAAGTATGTGTATTTAGAATAATAATTTTATTTTATATGTTGACTAGGTTTTTCAGATTTGACCGGGTGACCCGTGACCCGCTCATTCAGCCGGGTCTGGTTTTTACAACTACTAAAAACGGAAAGTTATTGTTCGTAACAGTGAATTATTTTTGTGATTTAAGTAAAAGTAGTGAATGAGTGATCGACCAAAAACAGATTGTCCAAACTACTCGTCCGCATTTCCTCGCATCCCCATTGAGCTATTTTGCATTGTTGTTCACAATTGATTACGCGCCGGTCCATCGCCACCAGTCCACAACCGGATCATGGCTGCACCGACGTCGTCGGGGTTGTCGAACATCATGCTAGCAGTCCACGAGAAGAAGACAGTGAGCGTGGACCTCTACCGCCCTATCCGCAACTACATCACAATCAACTACTCCGAACGGGAAGCTCAGAACCTCGAGGACGACCTCGAAACCCTTAAGCTCCTGCGTTCTGATATCGAGCGTGGCGCTCCCGACTCCCTGCCTTCCCGTCGAGATCTCCTCCAGAGTTACTTTAAAGCTATGTGCGCTGTCGAGTCCCGCTTCCCCATTTCACCTGATAAGGATCATATCAATTCAGTGACGTTTACCTGGTACGACGCCTTCAAGAACAGGCAGAAAGCTGCCCAGCAGAACATCCATTTAGGTAGATTGACTTAGAATTCGTTCTTGGTGACCCAATTCGGATAATTGGATTCCCAAGGGGCACATAGTTGATTATTTTTTGGACTACTTGCGTTATCTAAAATGTTCTATTATATTCATTAGGGTGGACTGACATTTGAATTTTATCTACCTGGACAACAGAAAGATTCCAGAATACCTGGCATTTTCTTGTAGCAGTGAATCTGGCTGCTAAAACCTATTAGTTTTATTTTTATTTAATCATTTAAATTATTCGGATGCAGTGTGTGTATTCATTGTTTATGTGAAATCATTTGTCATAGCATTGTGTATGACTTTATGTGCTTGCTTCATTGACAAAATATTTCTTTTAATAGAAAAAGCTGCAGTTCTGTTCAATCTGGGGGCAGTTCACAGTCAAATTGGGCTGAGTTTTGATCGATCGTCTGTTGATGGGAGAAGGCAGGCCTCACACTCATTCATTGCAGCAGCTGGAGCATTTGCGTTCTTGAGAGACAATGTTGCAATGAAGGCGTCTACGGGGAGTTCTACCACTGTGGATGTGTCCGTGGAGTGTGCTGGGATGTTAGAAAGGCTGATGCTTGCTCAGGCTCAGGAATGTGTTTTTGAGAATACAATTGCCAAAGGAAGCAGTCCTGTTGTCTGTGCAAAAATTTCAAGACAGGTGGGCATTCTGAAGTTTTAAATTTCCTTTTGGCTGACAGGTGTTGCCAGTAATGATGAATATTTTAATTAAAATTTTAAAGCATGCCTTGATCTTACTATGGTATGCACACATTTACGTTGTAATAGCCTTTCATTATGCCTTTGTTTTGGATATAACTTGTGCTGCTTCTTAGCTCTTCAGTCTTCACCATCATCCACAATGGACTTCATTCAGGAAGAAATTACTTAAATGGTCTAACCACATAGTATACCCATGATAACAGGTTGGGATTTTTTATGAGGAAGCTTCGGCAGCTTTAAATGCTGCACCTCTTAACCAGCACTTTGAAAAAGCATGGATTGCTCACGTCCAGCTTAAGGCGGCTCTGTTCTATGCTGAAGCTTGTTATAGGTTTGGTTTAGAGCTCCATGGGAAAGAAGAGATAGCTGAGGAGATTGCTAGGTTGAAGAGTGGGATCAGTGCCCTATCTGAGGCAAAAAAGACAGCACCGAGAGGTACAGCACAGCAGCTATTAGATGCAATCAACAAATTAGAAGTCAGGCTAAATCAAAATTTGGAGATAGCTGTGAAGGAGAACGATAGAGTCTATCTCATGAGGGTTCCTCCTGCTAGTTCTTTAGCTCCTCTTCCAGCCTTTTCAATGGTCAAGCCTTTGCCCATGACTGAGGTGCTGGATGCAAGCAAGGAGAAGATGTTTGCAAGTCTTGTTCCTGATAACAGCGCAAAATCTCTTTCCAGATATACCGAAATGGTTGATGATGTTATCAGGACTCAAGCTGAGAAACTTCAACAAGGTAGTGAACTAGCTCGTGTGAGGCTTAAGGAAATGGACTTGCCTGACTCAATTTTGGCGCTGGAGGGAAGTATTTCTCTGCCTACAGACCTGGGAGGCGAAGTAGAGGCAGTACAGGTCTGTGGTGGCCCAGCGGCATTGGAAGCAGAGCTTCAGCAACTCAAAGATCTGAGTAGGGTGAACCATGAGCTTTTGGTGCAAGCTGAGGAGCTTTTGCAAAAGGAGGCAACAGAAGATGCAAAATTTAGGAGCCAATTTGGAACACGATGGATTAGGCCCCAATCTAGTACTCTAACAAAAAACCTGCACGACAGATTAAACAGGTATGCAGCAAATTTGAAGCAAGCTGCAGAAAGTGATGCCAGAATTGAGCGATCTGTGAGAGATCATTCAGTACTCTTGTCAATCCTTGACCATCGCCCAGTATGTATATTTGCAGAAATTTTATTTTGTTTTTCATGTGGAAGAGTTGGGTGTTGAATTCTCTTATTGATCTAGATTGTTGCTCATTTATTGTTCTTGATTGATTGTTAAGACTTAAGAAGGCACATGACTGAGCAGTTATATCACTACATTGATTAAGCTTACAAGCTACAGTAAACATGTGTTTGTAAGAGACACATGATAAATTTTGAACACATATTATGTGAGGGTGCGCATGTCATTCTATATTTACTTAATCTGTCTCATTTAATGGTTTAACATTTAATTTAGTATTAGTAAATACAATTTTATTTTTTGGCTTGGGAATATGATGAAATAAAACAAAATGACTCACTAAACTGTCTGTGCTCCTTTGTTATGAATCAACAGTCAGTCCATGCAATTTTCGACGCGATTTTCACTATGGGTCATCCGGAAACAGTCTCTCTGTGCTTTAGTACGGGTAAGACTGCGTACATCCGGCCCCTCATTACCCCCCGTAGGTGGGAGCCTTTGCGGCACTAGGGTAGTGATGATGATGAAATACAATTGATTTAGTTGAAAACTTCATGTGAAGTACTGTTGAACACAAACAACCAAATCTGAGTGTCTATTCTATCGAAACTTTTTAACCCATTTAGACAAGATCAGAGTCTGTTTTTTTTGTCAGACCTGCAACTATAGACTGAGTGAAGACATTTATCCTAGTCAACTGAATAGATTTATGCTTTAGTTTCGTTCTCAGCCAATTTCATCGTATTTTTTATGACAGAGCTAGTAAATGCAATTCTTACCCTTCGTTCTTCTCTTTGGTAGATTGAGTCTGTACTCCCATCTTTGGCAAGACCAATTATGTCTCTGGATGCCAATGAAGATGCTGTTGTGGGAGCACTGAAGCACAGCTTGGTAATTTGCTTTGTTACCGGCAGAACTTTCTTTACTGAATTATCTAAGTTGGTGGCTTCTAGAATTTTATGTTGTCTTCTTATCACGTTCTGTGTTTATCTGGCTATAACGGGTGATGCAAAGTGGTTCTGTATGTTGCATTTTTGAGAAAACAATTAAAAAATTATATTGTATTGATAATATACAAAGGTTTATATAAGAATGTTATATTCTTATTTAAGTCTACTTCAACAGTTTCTATACTTCAACAGTTTCTAAGTCTTCAGTTGTCACACTCCGATAGCTGTTATTGGTAGCAATTGCTTTAAGGAGGCGTTTACTTCGCTGCTAAAGTCACAATTAGGTTAGTAAGACAGGTGAAGTAAACACGCAAGTTACTTAAAACGCTGCCTACTAACCGAAAGGGGTGCTTAAAGTGCCGCTTACTAAGCAGACCACCCCCCATGTATTAATTAAGCGGCACTTTAAGCTTTTTCAGTTTCCGAATTTACCCTTACCTTTACCCCTTACCCTTACCCTATTGCTACCCCACTACCCGCCCTACCACCCTACCCCCTACCCCCACTTGTACCCCTTACCTCGACCCTACCCTTTTACCCCTACCATCTGCCCCTACCTCGACCCCACCTCGACCCCGACCCCACCCACTTACCATACCCCGACCCCTACCCCTTTACCCCATATCACCTGTCCCTACCTCGAACCGGCCCCTACGAGTAGGGTGGGGGGTTAGGGGTATGGGGTGGGGAGTAGGGGTGGAGGGTAAGGTCATGGTAAGGGTTGGGGTATGGAAGGGGTGGGGGTCAAGGGTGTGGAATTGTGGGTAGGGTGAGGGGTGGGGTACAGGGTGGGGTAGGGGTGTGGATAAGCGACTAAGCGTACGAGGTGACCCCACATATTATATTATATACTTGTGTTCATGAATGTTTGTGTGTGTACATATCTATAGGGTTATTTTGGACATTTTAATGTTAAACGGTGTTTTAAATCCTTTGAAGTAAACATGAGCTTACAACACTGCTTATTTTATGCGCCACTTATTAACGCGAGTCTTAATAAGCACGTTTACTAACCCGTGAAGTAAATGTTTTTTTATACAGAGTACTATTTAAGTTTTGGTTTCTTTTTTTAAATGAACTATTTTGTCATTGACCCTATAAACTTGCTTTAAAATTTTATATTGCATTTGCAGAGGCAATTAGAGAGTCTTGGTGCTCAAAGAGCTGGTCTTGAAGACATGCTGAAGGAGATGAAGAGGAAGGTAAATTAAGCTACTGGGTTATTGGTAGCTTAGCTATTACATGGCTTTGGTTCAGGGAAATAAGCAATATAACTAACTTGTGTGGCTGGAGGATTGCATTTTGGGTTTTTATCTTATTTTTTAATCCTTTTAATTTTATCTTCTTTATCTTTCTTATGTTCTTTAATCTTTTATCCTTTTTATCTTATTTTTAATCCTTTTTTATCTATTTTTTAAATCCTTTTTATCTTATTTTAAATCCATTTTATCTTTATCTTATTTGTATCCTCATCTTGTCTTTTTTTATCTTTTTATCTTATCTTTTCTTTTTATCTTTCTTACTTTTTTAGCTCCGTTTTCATGTGTCGATTCATGTTACCTGACCCCAAACTCTTTTGGGACTAAGGTTTGGGTATTGTTGTTGTATTAATTCTTTATAAAGATTAATAAATTTATGCATCCTCTTTTCACATTTTTTTCAATCTTCCTTCACTTACAGAGTTTGTATGTTGCTAGAAAATAACCATGTTTCTTTAACTTAAATGACGTTGGTGCTGGCATGGACCGCATGGTCTTTATATGCTCTTTATATATTCTCCTAGTGCTTCCATAGACTGGAAGCCACTTGTTCCACCATGTCATTACAATTGTTACAATCTGGATTAAGAGTACTTATTTTACTGGTGAGATAAATATTCATCAATCAAACTAGTAATGACGAATTGGCTGAACGTAATTTGGATGACACATGAAAGATTATGAACTGTGTCTTTGATCACTTAGACTAAAAAGTTTCGCAGACTTGCTTTACAGTGTCTCTAGGTTAAGCAACTTGCTTTACAGTAGGGGTGGGCACAAAAAACCGTAACCGATTAACCGTATAAAAAACCATAAAACTGGTGTTTTTGTCGGTTAATCATACCGTGTTTTTAAAAACTCGCGGTACGGTTAACCAACCGGAAGAAATAATGGTACACGGTACGGTTATATGGTTTTGAAATAAAACTACTCCGGTTAACCGATAATCCAAATTTAAGTTATTACTTTCAAAGTTAAGAATTCTTGATTGTGAAAGGAAGAAGCTGGAATGAAAAAGAACCGATACATACACTGTATCAAACTGCTAACACATTTTTGGTTGTGAAGAGAAGCTCAAATGAAAAATGAAATCCATGAATAAATACTCGATCATCTGACTAATTAATACGTACTCCGTATATTCAAAATAGAATAATACAACAATTGCAAAATAACCTACGGTGTATTAATTTTATATATTTGCATAGCACTCCATTATTTTATTTTATGTATAAAAGTTACAAATAAGTGTGGCGTATTTATTTATTCTTGAGAAGAGAATTGAACAGTAGCAGTTCAATTGTATGAACCTATGAGACGGTGTAATTTTAGCCATTTCCCTGGATCGGGAATTTTATGTTACAACCTGTTCGCTATTTTGACATTGGCTTACATTTCAAGAGAAAGGCATTAAAAGTTAACTTTTTAAAATGGTTTTTTGGTTAATCGATTAACGGTTCACCTATATTATGGTTAATTGTTACCTGGTTAACCAATGCTATGGTACGGTTAATTTTATTATAAATATAATAACCGAAATCACGGTTAACCAAAAATTGGTTAACCAACCGTGCCCACCCCTACTTTACAGTGTCTCTAGGTTGAGCATTTGTTTAATTAAGGACATGCTACCACTGACCAACCCCCAGCTTATTGAGTAATTAAAATAGGGAACATGCTGGCTGTATATCTGTTCATTCTCAGGTTCTTTCCTTTTGCTAAGATATACTCCCTCCGTTCTTTATTACTTGTCCCCTTAGGCTTTGGCACGGGTTTTAAGGGGAAAATAATAGGGGTAATGTAAAAGGTGTAGTGGGTTGTGTTTGAATGAAAAAGTAGGAAAGAGAAAGGGATAATGGTAATAAAAGTGGGGGGTATAAAGATATTTTGATTTAAAAAACTCACCGAAAAAAGGAAAGAGCGACAAATAATTAAAAACGTCCCAAAAAGGAATATGAGACAGTTAATAACGAACGGAGGGAGTATGAAGTAGAATTTAAAGTGATAGAAATTATTCTTAATTTATTTTCCAGGATGATATCTTGCCCAAGTTAATGACATCTCCTGGCTCCCTTGAAGATCTTTTCAGAAAGGAGATTGGGAAGTATGCCAATATTTGCGAAGAAATTTCAAAAAATCTTGAGGCACAAGAACAATTATTGATACAAATTCAGGTATTCATCTAAATCTCTAAGTTTGCATTTCCTTTTTGTAATTTATTACTCGTTCATAAAACCCATTTCCAATCCAGGCTCAAAATGAGGATTTTGCTGCAATCTTCAATCTTGAAGATTATAAAGGTACGGAGTTAAACTGAACGCTTTAATTATAGGTTCATTCTTGGAACATCCATGGTTCCAATTTGAGATTGTAATGCATTACTGACTTATTATACTTATGAGTCCTGAGGTTTCCGATGATACTCATAGTGCCAGAAACCTTTATAGTACATGAGTACATGGAGCCTGAAGAGTGAAGTACTGAGAAAATTGTATGGCAGTAATGTGATTCAGTCTGTACAACTCCCTATTTATAATAAATGTATATAGGAGCTTAGAAGATAGGCCAAACCCACTATAATTAGGATTTCCGTAGGGGCTCAAAAAAAACTGATGTGGTGCATACAAGTTATATGTGCCAATGTTTTCGTCCTGTCTTGAGACACAGGACTAGAGGCGATGTTACTTGATAATTACATATCAATATTATATGTGCTACGGTTTCATATTGTAACTCGGGTTTTAATATTTTTCGCATATCTAGTTACCCGTGTCTAAAATCATAGCATAAGATTTAGTTTCTTCACTGGATCTTGTAGCATCCTCTAAACAGAGATCTTGTCAAACCAGCACCATAATATCGTATAACTTGGGTGTGGCCTTTATCTATTGATTCCCATCCCTGTAACTCGTGTTGATATGCCTTTTGTTTCTTTTAAATGCTACAGCATCCCGTGAGAAGATGTACAAGCAGATTGAATCTGGTATAGGGAAGTATCGAGAAATCAAGGATAATATTAATGAGGGATTAAAGTTCTACGTTACTCTTCAGGTATAAATTCTTTTAAATATTTTTTTTTTTAAATTTGTTGTCATCAGTCACGATGGTCAATCATGGTGTGGAGTATTTGTCAATTAACTAATTTAACTTGGAGGCACAACCTGCATCTTGCAAGCCCTTGCTAGGCTGAATGGTAGTATTCGTACCCAGTGAAATGGGTAGGAGCATATTTAAAAGATAAACTGTGCGTATATATTTCCCACATATAAATAGGTCCTAACAGCCATCGTTGTACTCCATTATATATATATATATATATATATATATATATATAAATATATATATATATATATATATATATATATAGAGAGAGAGAGAGAGAGAGAGAGAGAGAGAGGGAGGGAGGGAGGGAGGGAGTGAGGCAGGGAGGGAGGGGGAGGGGAGGGGAGGGAGAGAGAGAGATTCCGGTCAGGCCTTCTTGACAGGAGCCGCTGTCCGGACGGCGGCTTTTGGGGCTCTTCCCGGTGGAATTTTTTGATGATTTTATTTGGGAATGTTCTCCATCAAGTCTAGTTTATCCAAATAAAATTCAGCTAAAAATTCAACCGGGAAAGCAGTCAAATAATTTTTGAAAGATAACTGCGCCAAAATATACATATAAAAACGCAGTTACCTTCCAAAAATTGTTTGACTACCTTCCCACTTGAATTTTTAGCTGATTTTTTTGTGTGGATAAACTAGACTTGATGGAGAACATGCCCAAACCTGACCGGAACCGCCGTCCGGACGACGGCGTTTGGGGCCTTTCCCGCCGGTGGATTTTTTTGATGAAATTTTTATGGCATGTTATTCATCAAGCCTAGTTTATCCACAAAAAAATTCAGCTAAAAATTCAATCGGAAAGGCCGTCAAATGATTTTTGGAAGATAACTGTGCCCAAAATATACCTATAAAACGCAGTTATCTTCCCTAAATTATTTGACGCCCTTCCCGATTGAATTTTTAGCTGAATTTTTGTGTGGATAAACTAGACTTGATGAAGAACATGCCATAAAAATTTCATCAAAAAATTTCACCGGGAAGAGGCTGAAACGCTGCCGTCCGGACGGCGGTTTCTGTTCGGAATTCCGGACAGGAATTTCTATATATATATATATATATATATATATATATATATATATATAGGGGAGGGTTCAAATACAAAGAGGTCTTCCCATGCAAAGTGAGGATTAATCTTGTGCATTCATTTTCAAATCTAATGGCTTAAAATGAGCCACAAATGCACTAAATTTGATCAAAAACACGGTGGAAATTTCGTAAATAAATCGAAGTTTTCTGCCACCGGAAAAAAGTGCAACAAAAACATGAAATAGTGCAACACGATACAGAAAAAGTGCAATTGTTCGCAGTTTGCACACAACACCTCTTTATATATATAGCAAGGAGTTCTCTTTCCTTTTTATCATGCTTAAAGTACCCTGAGGTTCCTTGTTCATATTTGACTCCTATTTTGGATACAGTGCTGTTTCTTATCGTTTTGAATTCATTAGTTACCTCTTTTTATGAAACTGTTTTTCGTACTAGTGTTATTGGAAGAACAATTTAATAAGAAAGTATTTATCTGGACCTAGTATTATTTTACTTTCTTTTATTGAACAGGATGCTATCACAAATATAAAGCAGCAGTGTAGCGATTTTGTGATGACTAGAAATATTCAATGCCGGGAAATGGTTGATGATGTTCAAAGACAAATGTCAGGTCTCAGTTTTAAGGATGATAAAAATCCGCCAGGTGGTTATAATTACCCTTCCGGTGGGCAGCATAATCCTCAAAGATCAACTTCTCACCAAACAGACCCTGCAAATGTCTCCAATGCTGTTCGATTCCAATCTCCATACCAGCCTCCTCAGCAGCCAAGTCTCCATATCCCCGGGCATGCCCATAATCCTTCCTCCGCTTATGGTGCTCCCCTACAACCACCGCCACCTCATTACCCTTTGCAAGCTTCTGGTCCCCCATACCCCCCACCTCCTCAACAACACCAACACCAGCCTCAACCTAGCCACGACTATGGTCAGCCTGCTTATCCCGGGTGGAACCACCATCCATATTATAATGCCCCTCCTCTGCAGCAGCCAGGATCTATGCCTCCACCTCCATACACTATTCATTCTCAACACCCACCACCCAACCAGAGCAGCTATTATAGACAATGATTGTGATTTTCATTTTCTTTTTCCTCTCTACGTGTTTGATTGCTTGAATATATAAAAGGACTTATTTGAGAGTTGAGAAGAGTGGATGCCCATTAATTACATAATTTTGTGTGTAAATGAGAGAATATTGCATAGAACGTGCTGTGTATAGGGTTTTCATCTTGGATCATACTGTTTATGCTGTTCATTAAAAACCATTACACATTCTTTTGAGTTACTGAATTTGTATCTACCTATCTAATAGATTTATTTTTTTATAAAAGGGGGGAATTTTATTAAAATATAGTGGACATACAAGTAGTTGGAGTGGCCGAAATTAACCAACCCTTAAAAAGAAAACAACTAAGCGGCGACCCAACAATGGGCCTAGGAATGAAATGATCTGTGTAGTCCGTCCAAGAGAATAAAATCAGACATAATGCTGCCAAGCCGTATGCGTGGGTGAGATTCTGAAATGCGCTGGAATCTTCGTAGTTGTCGTCTATTGATTTGCGTTCAGCCTGTGTCACGGAAAGGTGGATCATCTGTCTTGCTTGAGTTGTGGTTGCTCGGATCATTGTTATGAGGGTGCAACCGTGCAACATAGGTTAAAACAACAACATCCAAACATTAGTTACACAATTTTACTAGCCAACCGTTTCCGCAAATCTAAGCAGTCTAGAGGGTACATTTAGGGATGGGCCGGTTCCGGTTCGGGCCCGGTCGGGCCTCGGTTCATGAAGGGGAGGCCCAGAACCGGCCCGGGTAACCCCCGGGTCCGGGCCGGGCCTCGGTTCTATTTTTTTTGGCTTTTCCTAGTTAACCCCTAACCCTCCCCCTCACCCCCAAACCAACCCTAACCACCTCAAATGGCCCAAAATACCCAGCCCAACCCAAAAACTTAAAAAAATTCAAAAAAAAAAAAAAAATGGCCCGGCCCAGGCCTGAACCGGCCGGGCCGGTTCACCTTATGAAGGGCCTGAGCCCAAACCGCCAGCCCACCGGGCCGGGTGGCCCGAACCGGCAAACCAACCGGTTCACCGGGCCGGGCCGGGCTCACACAGTAGCGGGTCAGTCCGGTTCCGGGCCGGTTGGCCCGGCCCGAGTCCAACCCTAGGTACATTGTTTCTTAATTTAAATTTTCCTTTCTCACGCGTGCCATATATAGGGATGGACCCAACCGGTTCAAACCGGCCTGGGAACCAAACCGGCCCGCTACTGTGCGGGTCCGGACCGGGCTCGGGCCCAAATGACCGGTTCCAGGCTTTAGCCCGGTTTGGGCGGGTCTGGCGGGCCAGGCTCGGGCCTTGATTTTCATGAACCGGCTCGGGCCATGTTTTTTTTCAATGGTTTTTTCTTTTCCTTGGGTAGGGCTGGGTGTTTTGGGGGAGTTTGGGGGGTCAGGGGTGAGGGAGGGGGGTCGGGGGTTAATTACAAAGCCAAAATTTTTTTTTACCTTGAATTGGGCCTGAACCGGCCCGGCCCGCTTTGGCCCAGACCCGGTATCAACCCGGGCTGGTTCCAGGCCCAACATCCTAGAAAAAAAGCCCGGCTTGAACGGCCCGAGCCCGAGCCCGAGCCCGGTCCATGCCTAGCCATATAAGCCCATCAGGAGTGTACTTATTGCCAGTTTGTTTTACGGTCTAGAAATTTAAGTGATTGAATTCCTTTTGCTAAAAATAATCAGCTCAGTTCTTGGAATCTGCAAGGCACAGTTGTACACACAGTATGTTGGGCCTGCAAGACTTGGATGCTTGTCATATATTTTGACAAATTACGCCATAATTTAAATTAAAATATATTTACATACGCTAGGGATCATTCACTAAATTAACCACCAGTTACACTACAAATAGCAGGTATGCACAGCTTCATTTGTATATATGCTGCTCATATTTACAGACATTAGTTTAAAATTTAATGAGTGTAAAAGTCTAAATATATATTTTATCAAACGAGAATTGAAGTTGATAAATACCAGTGTTGTAATGGTGAACAACACACTCTTCCTCATAAAGTATTCTCATACTATTTCTCCTATAATTGGTTCTCAGCAAACTGGTTCTACGTCCTCTCAAGTCTCAAACACAAACACATCTAATGGAGTTCTACGTCCTTTCTACTTACATGTTGCATTTATGCATATTACCAAACAAACACCTATTGGACTAAAATACTCTTGGACAAGGACAAAATGGCACAAATTAATTTAATTACAGAAAGACTGAATGGCTCTCAATTTTTCTTTTTAATGATCCAGTCACAATTTCACATATTCATCTAAACAACTAAAGTCCAAAAAAAGAATCTCAAGTATGTTGCAGGTGTTGTAACTCATGTACACAGCAAAAGAGTGCATGCACCTTCAACCTTCAAAAGGACTTGTATTGTAAACAAAAGGAAGATCCAGCTGCATATTTGGGGGACAAAGCTTTCCCATTCACGAGCAATTGCTCTGAGAAATTTGCTCGCACTGACTTGAAATGGTAATGCTACAATGAGAATTTAAAAATGAAAATGAGGCCAATATCCATGCTCATGCTAATTCTAATCCATTTTGTTGCTAAAGGTCATCATAAACCTTCAGAAAAATGGGGAATATTAAACACATTTTGATCACAACTCACTCTAAGAAATTAATGAAGTGTATACAGTGGCCTATCCAGAAAAACTCGTTACGGACTTGCCTTATATATTATCACACACACGTTACGGACTCACCACATTAAGAAAAATATTGTAAAGTTACTTTTGAATAACAAAATATTCACTGGGCAAAAACTTGATTTATGATTTAATACAAAAAAATACATATTCAATAAATTTGATTTTGTTAGAAATAAATTCTAAGCACAAGATGTTTGTAATTTGTTTAAAATTATGTTGAAAATTATGTTAATAAATAAGTGAATCAAATAAAGGAAGGATCATATATGTACTTAGAATTAATTTAAGATACAAATTCACAAGTATTTTAAAAATCAGTTTATATTATTTACAAGAATCTACGTAAATGTTAAACTTTATGAATCAATCTAAAATTTTGATTATATTGAATTATTGATATAGTTTAAATCTTTCTAACAAGACAAAAGTTAATTTTTTATGTTAAGCCATTTTAAGCCAAGTATCTTGTGGTCTGATGACATCACTGTGACATTGCCAAAGAGGAAGTCACGAGTTCGAATCTCATCCCAGTTCAAGGATGTTGGCCTTAACAGAACATACTTCCTCTGTTTCCTTTTAATTGCAAGAGTCAACATTTCACATTTGCCAACACACACGTTTGACCATTAATGTCTTTCATTCCTTATTATTAAAAAATTTAAAAAATTCATATTTTGAAAATTTAGAATGAGAAGAATTTTACAATATTTTTAAAAAAATGAATTTTTAATACATTAATTAATAAAATATAGTCAAAGTAGATAATGTGAATAGTGCAAAAAGTCCAATGTTGCAATCAAAAGAGAACGGAGGTTGTATACTATAATATGTTAGAAAGATTTGCCAAATAAAAAATGTTAAGCCATTTTAAATTTGTTTAAAGCTTCAAAAGGGGAAAAAACAAAGACAACTCAAGACTGAAGCCCACTGGTTTCGAACCCTGGACCTTAGGAGATAACAAAGCTACACGCATAAACACTTGCGCTCCACCATTGCGACTTTTGAGTACAAGCTCGTTATTAACATTAGAAATATCTAATTTCAGAAACAAATATATATACATAATTAAATATTGGATATATATAGAGGGGTTGGGTACGCCCCCTGAGTGTATGGATATATATAGAGGGGGTGGACTATAGAGTGGGGGCAGCTGCCCCCCTGCCCCCACGTTGGATACGCCCCCTGAGTGTATGGATACTGTACAATACCTTTCCTTTCCATGAAAAATCAACATTGTGATAGTAGGGTTGAAACAGTGTCACTATATCCCTTTCTTTAATCTGCAAGGCACAGTTGTACACACAGTATGTAGTGTTTAAAATTAAATAATGCATTCCAAGAAAAGCAAGCTAATGTAAAGTGGAAGCTTGCAAAACTAGAAAATGTAAAAGTTGAACTATATAAATTGACCCAGCAAATGCTTGACACAAAGGGTTTCTTTTTTTAGGTATTTAAATAAATATTGATATGAAAAAAACCTATCACTCCCAATAGGTAAGAGGAGAACATTTGAGATAACACATGAAAGGAGCTAATACTACCAGTCTACCACTCACACGTCTCCAAAAAGAAAATAACATCATCATCATCATTACCCCAGTGCCGCAAAGGCTCCCACCTAGGGTGGGGTAGGGGGGGTCAGATGTACACAGTCTTACCCCTGTACTAACGCAGGGAGAGACTGTTTCCGGATGACCTATAGTGAAAATCGCGTTGAAAATTGCATGGACTGATCGTTGCTTCTTATCAAAGAAGTGCTGATATTCCCAAGCCAAAAAAAATAGTGAGTCTTTGGCTCCATTGCGAATGATTGAAGTAAAAACAAAAGAAAAATTACGTATAATCAGGACTACTAATATACTTTAAGAGCCTTGCAAGTAAGTAATACCAGAGACAAACTAGATATTAAAATCTCACAAGCGGAAGAGGTTCACTTTATCAAAAAGCTTCTGATCTTAAAAGAGAGAGGTAATCCCAACAATGTCCAAGAACAAAATAAATAAACTGAAGAAGTCATAACCATTTTATCTGGATACTATCTAGTTTTCAGTGGAACACAAACCTCTTCTTTATGTGCCAGTCCAATCCTCTCTCTCCAGGAAAAAAATGGGTCATGAAAGATACATGTACAAGCTCTCAAAAGCTGAAACCCTAGCACCCCTCATTGATATGATTTCGGGGTAGTGGGGTACATAATAGCTAGACTAGCAACATACAATTATAGGATGGGAGAGGTGAATTTAGACGGTCTCATGGTCCACCCTATAGAGTAGGAATGCTACGGGTTAAGGTTAACCAATTTCCTTATCTCCGCAGCAATCATTTTCAAGGCCTATGCTTAGTGCTCTTGAGGGAATTCAAAGGTTTCATAGCTTGATTGGAAGGTCTGCTACCGTTTGCCAAAGGAGCGCTGAATTCAGGGATTTATGAAACTGAAACAGGACATCGATAGTTGAATTTCGATGAATAAGCAGCCCAGGAAGGATACCCTTTGGTCTAAATGGGTACACAGCTTTATTTGAAAGGTAGACAATGTGGTTTTGGCACAAGAGGATGTGAACTCGCCACTTCTGAAAAATTTGGCCAAAATCCAGGATGATCTTGTGATTAAGGCATGCTATTTACTGGGGCCAATTCATTGCTATCTAAATGGACAAGTGCGAATGAATTTTGCTCTTTGGGTGCCTATACTTTTCTGAGGTGAATAGGTTTTGGGTTGGCATTTCCAGGTATCAAAACATGCATTTTCTTTTAGCTTGTAAGAACGGACTGCCTAATAACGATCACATTAACTATATGTAGGTGGATCATATACCCCCCCCCCCCCCCCCCCCCCCCCAGAAAACAGTGAACACATGTTTCTCTGTTCGGTCACGGAAAGAGTGTGGGATGCGATCAGCCAATGACTATGCATGACTAGGTCAATGAGAACCTTTACAAAGTTGATCAGGATGGAGGAAATAGATGCCACTACTGTTACTCTATTTATTTTATCTGGATTGCTAAGAAAAGGCAGGTTTGAGAATCCTTCTACCTCGTGGTCTTCTACTCCTCCATTGTGGATTTAATCAAAGCTCATGTCTTCATTGTTTTATACTACTTTTATTTGACCACCACCCACACACTTGATGGGAAATTCTTACGTAAACAGTATCAATAGTAGATAGCATTTTTTCCCTCCAATATGCCCGATGTATCTTCTAATGATTCTATGAATTCTGATGAATATAATTTTTGCATTTTTAGGCATTTACATTCTTTTGAATTTCCATCCCTTCCCTGAAAGAAATGTTTTGAAAAGCAACTGAGAAAGTTGAAGCATAAGGAGTCCATGAGGAGTATAGCAACATCTTAGAGGAAACTTACAGCCTCATTTTGTACCCCATAGACAGATAGAACATAGCACACTTCAGTGGAATCACATAGAACATAATAACTGCAAAAAACAGTCACGTGAGAAGCTACCTGTTATATATGTATATGTGTGTGTGTATTTATTTGTGTCAATGGAATGACAGTCCTAAGGAGAGTAAAGATATGTAATAAAATGAAGGATCATCAAAGATTAAAAGAAGAGAATGTATTAACACTTGAGAGCAGTTTGCAATTGGTGTAATGCTTGTCGTGACTCTTGAGAGGAACTTACAGTGGAGTTGATGTCCCATGCTTAACAAAAAGCAAGACTTTCCCGAACAATACCACCCCTTTGTTAAGACCTTCTGAGAGAACATCTATGGTTGTCTTTCTATATGAAGGACTCACTGGAAGGGAAAATAGTAAACTTCTTTCAGATTATTGATAAAAAGCTCACACCATATCAAAAGGAAGGTTTTCTATCAATAAATGATTTGATATAACAAGGCTGACCACTAATGTTATTGAGTGAAGATGCGAGTGAAGATAGATGCTTGGACTTACTCTGCCCCTGGTAAAACAAAAACAAAACATCATAATCCCCACGTTTTCAGAAACAAATGCTCTGGTGAAGATAAAAAGTGATCAACTATGTATATGATCATTTTAAATGCACAATTTGTAACTTAACTGTTTGTATTTTGTAATCTCAAAAACATGTTTGCAAACACATATTTTCAAAAGCATACATGTGGCGACAAGCCATCAATAGCACATGTGATGGTTGGTGAAGGTGGCAACGATGGTGATTGGCACGGTTATGCAAGACAGTGTTGGTGATGGTCGGAAGAACAATGGTGGTGGGCAGCGGTCAATGGTGGTGTTTGCTGACAGTGGTGGTGATCTTAGATGGCAACAATAGTGGCTGGCAGTGATATCCATGGTGGTGGCGGTAGAATCAATAGAGGTGTTTGTAGGTGATATCAATGTTTGATGGTGTTACAGTGGCTATAGTCATTGAGGGTGATAGAGGTCGTCAATGATGATATCGATGGTGAGCAACAGTCATGGAGATTGTGTTGATGTTGCCTTTGGTCGCGAGGAGGGGGTCACCAAGTGTGACTTTAGAGGAATGTCACCGTTTATGGAGTGAGTGTGTGGTGACAACTGCCACCAATGATTTGACTTTACTATTGTAAAATTAAATTTTTATTCTGGAAAATACAAAGAATTCTTTCTAGTTTTCTTAAAAAAATGAAAAGTTGGAGAACAGTTCTATGTTTTCTACATTTGGAAACTGGTGAAAAGAACATGTTTTCTATTTATTCAGTTTGGGAAATAGAGGCAAGGGTTGTTTATTGACTGAAAAGTTATTGTCTAACTGGTTTTCTTGAAAACTGGATAACGGAATAAAAAACAAGCTTACGTGTTAGCTAACTAGAGAAGTTTCCATTTTCTAGAAAACGATAAACAGAGGAGGTATACATTTTTTACTTTCCGAATTGAGAAAACAGAAAGTATGTTTAGTTGTTTACTACACCAGTCCTTGACATTAAGATAAACCATGACTACTGACAGTGACCCCCACCACAATCATTGACTTCACACCACCACCATTGATCACCTCTGGGCCTCCGGCAAAACCAATCCACCCCACCCCTACCTCGCATGACATGTGCCTACTGCCTACTGCCAACACAAGCAAACCCTGTACAATCAACATCGCTACCTTTGTAACCATAGACCAGCTATAGACTGTAGTTGTCAATGACCACCACCACTGCCAATAACTACTGCCGAGGTTAGTGTCGTCATGCATAAAAATATCAACATTACCAGATCCACCATTTCCGTTGATGATTGACCACCAACAATGTTGTTGACCACCACTACCGACCATACCACTTCTGTTGACCACCTGTACTACTGATTGCCACTACCACCTTCACTTACCATTGAAGGTGGTCCACGGCACCACATATGATCTTAAAATATGTGTTTTCAAATTAGAAAAAGAAAACATAAATCATATAACAGAAAACAGAGAATAGAACACAAAAAACAAAAACAGAAGAAACAGACCCCATGTTTCTCAAAATATATATGATATCTCCTTTCAGACTACTGGCATGATACCATTGTTTGTTTTATTTATTTTTATAAAAGCAAGTAATCACAATATAAATCACTTCCCATGCATCATCCTTATGATGAACTAAAACTGAATCCTGTATCTCATTTCTATCCTTCCTAAAAATACAAGGAGGGAATTGCAGAGATATTGATCCACATGCAATAAGTTGATGGCCATGATAAAATTACCTTTAGCAAACTATCCAATTTGTCAAGAAGGTAAAGCACCTTTTGGACCTCCTCTGTTGCATTTAAACCAGGATCCTTCAATGTGGCAGCTTCAAATCCAGCAAGGGCTTTCTCATAATTCTCAAGATATTTGTTTAGCTGCAAATAATTAGCAGTGAACATCATTTTTCTTAGGTAAAGATTATGAAAAGAGAAGCTTGAGGTGAAAAGCCTAAGAGCAACAACAAAATTTCTAGCTGAGAAAGTATAGCCAATTACATAATGAACACAACCAGATAAGACTCTGGAGAGCATCTTTTTCATTATGCTGCAGTAAGGTCAATCAACAAACCAAGCTTTGAAGTTCTTATGAGAATCAATAAACAATTAGAGTTAAATATGAGACTTACAGTAGCACAGTTAAAATATAGGTCTGGATAACTTGTCATTCGTTGGTCTCTCTCCTGTACAATTACAGCAACACGGCCTTATGTCAAATACCGGTCATGTCTAATACGAATAAAAGGAAAGTGGAATGGTTCCCTGGTGTACATCTACACCAGGCATAGAATTGACAAAAGGCAACTATAAACAGTTTAAAAAGGCTAACTCAAGAGTGCACACACATTTCATTAGGTAACCAATATATGGAGCTTTATTAAACGCATACATACAGCATTCTGGTAAGCTTTCAATGACTGTAGGAGTTTCCTGTGATCCCAAGCTCCAGACACAAAAAATGATGTGTGATATGCATTACCCAAATTATCTGTAGTAAACACACAAAATTTACCAGGTATGTATAATTTGAATACAGCAGTAGGGTAATAAAAACAACAACACAAACAGTAGTAGTAGTAGTAGTAGTAGTAATATGGAGTTATAATAATGATAACAATAATAGTAATAATAATAACATTAATAGTAATATACACTCAATCACATCAGAAAGATTTTGATCAGATAAAAAAAGGTTCAAATAAGATCCGATTTAAAAAATCTTAGTCCTATTGACATAGGGACACAATGATAAATCCTATTTTTTCATACTTTCATTTAGTTTCCATATCACCTATCACTCTAATCTCACAGCATCCATGACACATATGAAGAAATGCAGTTAAGAACATCAAACAATAAAATGTAGTTAAAATCCAACAACTTCTAGAGAAAATTGAATAGTAATTGTCCTATATAGGACTAAAAAAGAAGAGAATTTCTCAAATAAGACCATGTATGTTTTTTTCCCCAAATAGGATCGATTTACTCCTATTTTAAAACATCCGCATATTTCATTCCATTATTACCCTCTATCCCTTTACGCACATCTCCCCAACCGCTTCCCCTTCTCTCCTGCGCACATCCCTCTCTCTCTCTTTCTTGGTTCCTTGCGCATCATCATCGGCTTCATCCAAGCCATCGTCGCCGCCTCCGTCGACTTCGCCCTGTGCACAAGATCGACCGCTTTCCTCTCACGCCATCGATTTCGCCGCTGCCATTAAGGTTCTTCTTCTCCTTCTTCCTCTTCTTCCTCTTCCTCTTCCTCTTCGATTTTCCTCTGTTTTTTGGATTTTGAATTTTCTTCTTCTTCCTCTTCCTCTTCGATTTTCCTCTGTTGTTTTGGATTTTGAATTGAATTTTCCAATTTTCGGGCTTCTGTTTTGATTTTTTGATTTCTAGTTTCTGAGTTTTAAAACAAATTCAGATTTTCAACATTTTGGATGATTGTTTCGGATTTGGCCAAGTTTATGGCAGAAATGTGTCCATTAACATCATATTATGGCAGAAATGCTTTTGTATAAAGTGTTTTTTTTGTCAATAGCTTCGTTTTCTAATTTGCTATTGTGCTAAGAAAATTATTCCACTAAAAAATTTAGTTGTTTGAATATTTGGTTATTTATTTCATGTTTTTTCATTTTTTGTCAAATTTATGGCATTTTTGTGTTAATATTTCAACATGAATCTGCCAACTTTTTGGCAGATCTGAAACTCTTGTGTTATGGAAGATGTAGATCTAATCCACAACTCTAAATCTGCCAACATAAAGGCAAATTTATTCCGCCTGAGTTGTCGTGTTCAGAGGATGGCGGTGGTGGTGGATGGCGACGCCGATCAATTTAGTTGTTTGAATATTTGGTTATTTATTTCATGTTTTTTCACTTTTTGTCAAATTTATGGCATTTTTGTGTTAATATTTCAACATGAATCTGCCAACTCTTTGACAGATCTGAAACTCTTGTGTTATGCCATGGACGGTGTCGCCAGTGTGGGAAGCGGCGGCGATCAGGGGGCGGCGATGAGTGGAAATGATGGGCCGTCAAGGATGCGGCAGCAGGCGGCGAGGGCGGCAACGGGCGGCACATTCACCGGCGAGGGCGGCGACGGGCGGCACATTCACCGGCGAGGGCGGCGACAGACGGCGCCGTCTCCGGTGAGGGCGGAGGCAGGATCCGGCGGCGGGCGGTTTGGCTCTGGCGGTGGCAGTGTCACTGCTAGGGTTTCAATAGTTTTTAATTTTACATTTTTAAAATTTAAAATATTAGAAGAGGGGTATTTTAGTCTACTACTCTGAAAATGGTCCTATGAAACATATGGTTCGTTTATAGTCCTAAATGGGCAATTAACTTTGCTATTAGTCCTATTTGAGGCATTAACTCAAAATTGAATCACTGGAGCGTAGCGAGTGCTTAACACAGATATACAGTGACGTGAATTGAAGTCCACCTACATGTGCTCCTTTGTAAGTGTACTTGTTGGAAATGTCTATTACGTTATAAATGAGTTAGGGACCTACACCACGAATATCCATCCTTGACATCTAGAGTGGTAGCTTCTTTGGCATGCTTAACACTCTCTTCAATAATTCCTTCCAGATCTTCAGCACCTGCAAATGTGTGAAAACATCATTTAACCATCAAAGCAGAGTAAGTAGATAACTGAAGACCAAAATGGAACTCAGAATATTGGGGGAAAATAGAGCTACAAGAAGTTGCAAGTGTGTTACAAAGGTCTTCATATGTTACTATGCTAAATAAGGTCATAAAATTTTCCAGAAGAAGATGCAAATAACACGATTGCAGCGTTCTTAAGACGCAATTAACAAGCTTGCACAAGTGGGTCAACTAAGTAACATATAATTGCATATTTGAGTTGTTCAAAGAGGAGAAGCATTAGAACTTTAATTTGTCAAAGCCATGTTCAAGGGAAGGATACATACACAAACACGATGACATGTCTCAATTGGAGTAGAACTGGGATTCAAACTTGGGTGGGCGGAAAACAATTCATTCTTACAAGTTTATGTAGTAAAAAGGTTACACATAGTAAAAAAGAATGCCTGAATTTGGGGAGGTTCGAGCGTCGGTTAACACCCCCACCCCAATATTCGCCCATGTGCAAATGATCTATTTGCATAAGCAAGTATATAACTCAAAACCAATTTAGAACAGCTGAAGTATGGCTGCCAGCATAATCGCAACTAGTTTGAATAAAGACTTGGGACTATTTTCTTTTTAATAAACTAAAACTTCTCAATGAATGGTTTATTCACTACCATAACACTAATGCTGTAAAACTGTAAAAGGATAGAACTCATAGGAAATCTTATATCTTATAGATAATAAAAGATGGAGGATCAATCATTAAAAAACTTCTTCAATACAGTACAAGTCAATTAACTAAGAGAAGCATAAAGCTACACAAATAACTATCATAACTTCACATGGATGAATGATAAGTACAAGTTATTCCCTAAACGGTCAAGATACTAACAAGTGCACAAATTGAAAAGGAAATTCACCTTGAGCCATTTTCCTTTCTAGCATTGAGAGTTGACAAAGTATTCTTTTATTTGGTCCCTGAGCATAATATTAATAAGATATATTAGCCACAGGAAACATTGATCAACTAAAATAATAGTCATACACTTCATCCCTACTGAACTCACAAACAACGCCAAAAATAGACCTTGCTCAAGCCAAGCATCAAACAGTTCTTGACTGAAGGCAAATCTCCTTTCTTCCATATGCAGTTACTCAAGCATAGCCAAGCATCTGCAAGAGAAGGGTTCAACTTTACCTGAAACAAAACATATACCAAACTGGTTAAACAGAGTGAAGCACCAAATGTGAACCCATGACAAAAAGACTTGAGAAAAATATTCTCACATACAGCTTTTGATAGGTGCTCTTCTGCTTCCTTTCTATAATAAGGAAACACGTCCAATACTTTCCCCCACAAGAATTCATACATAGCTCGTTGCATAGGTAATTTTCTTCTCTCTGCAATTTAAAGCTAACATCAACCCACTGCAGCCCATCATTTTATTTGTATCTAGGGGGCAGTAGTTCTCTCATAAAAAAGCTAACCAAGTAACGATCCCTCAGTCTGACACAAAAAATGCATCTGTTTTCCTTTTTTTTTGATAATCCAAGTGTCGGGGCTTACGCTCCCATAATCCTGGAGTCTATGAACTACCCTCCAAAGCCCCTAGACAGTTAAATCCGGATCTGATCACAGTCAGGCTCGTCAGTACTGGCTCCAAAGGACAAATCCAGCAGGACTTACATCACCTTTCAGGCTGCTCCTCCCACCACACGAACCCGCTACCTTCATTACCATCCTCTCCCTTCTCAGCCGCTGAGCAACTCCGTGAAGGTAGGACGAATCATTGGGAGCAAGACCTCCCTCATCTCCCCTTGGTGGGATTGAACCCATGACCTCCCACAAAGGAGAGACTTGGGGTGGATGCTCATCCATTGGACTACACCCACCTTCCCATGCATCTGTTTTCCTTATACTAGGGCAGTTGTCAGTTGTATAAACCACTCTGTCTGGTACTTCCGAATTAAATGCACATTGACAATTTAAGCAGAAATGCTACATGTGATACAAAATAAATGAAGATACAGAGAGATGGTCTACCATGAGGTATTTCATCGAGCAGTTGGAGGGCAAGATCGGATTTGGTCTGCAAAATGGTTGTTTTCTCATCAGGGTTTACTGGGTAAAAACTCTCTCGAATCTTATAGAGCTCGTCCGCAGCTTCTGCTGCCTTAGTGAAAACATCTTCTTCATCTTCTCTATTTTCTTTTAAAGCGCTGCTCATTTTTTGAGGTTACGTAGAGAGTTCAACTGAGGAGTGAGGCAAGAGAGCCAAAATTCAAGCTCATGACAGAGTTTTACAACTTTGCTCAGATCACTGCCGGTCGGTAGCAGTAGGACCTACCGACATAGTATAAGGATGTAACTGGTTCATCACTTCTTGGAACGTCAATCAACTGATTCTTCTCGGCCTTTACAATTAGGAATGAATAAAATTCTGGACCTCAATTTTGGAACTAAAGGTCCCGTGTTTTAAATTTTCTATTCAAAAAAAGGATAATACCAGTTCGATCCGACGATACGTTAAATTAAATTTTCTATTCAGACTCATGGAGACTAATCTATTAAACAATTTATTTATTTTTTGGTTAACTATTTAAAATTTATTTAATTCATTTCATTAGGACTCCATTATGTATTTTGTGTATCAAATATTTTCTTAATAATAGATTAATCCACATTAAATATATTTAGGGGGTGTTTGGAACTGATTCTGCTTCTGCTTCTTTTTTTATAGCAGAAGCAGAATCAGTTTTCCGAAGCTGGTACCCCCAACTTCTAAAAAAACTGATTCTATGAGTAAATTAGAGCACCATAATAACTTCTGCATTTTCACCCAAACACTCCAACTTCTGCTCCCTGAAGGAGCAGAAGCAGTTTTAAGAATTAGATCCAAATACCCCCTTATGTTTCTTCTAATATTTCCGTCCCACCAATGATGTGACATGAGAAGGTGACACAATTATTAAAAAAATGAATTATATGGTTGATATTGAAACTGATAAAGTAAGAATGATTTGAAAACCACACAAATTTTATCAAATTTGGTATGAAACAATCTTAGTGAAATGGATCATAAACGAAATGTGAGACAATTCTATCGGAATAGAAGGAGTACTAAATAGAAAATTGTAAATTGAGAGATCTTATGGAATTTAACTAAGAATTGAGTTAAAAGTGACTCATAACCATTGAAGAGACAACTACAAACTGAATGCTAGTTTCAACAGATTCTTTAGACTAACTAACAATTTTTCATGCATCCGCCACCACTAGAACGAGACTTTTGAAATTAACAAACATTTAATCAACACGAGTACATTATATATTAATATACGCATTAAGCTATATGTGTTCCATGGAACTAAATCACTTCAATAATAGTATAAGACCCAGCCAATCCCATTAAATTAGATATATTGATCTGACAAAAGAATTTTAGATTTGTAGGGATGATGGTTGTTTTAATAAAAGAAAATGTTAAATTTACATATCAAAATGTGAAATGATGGTCTCTGATGAGTTAAAAGTCTAGAAAAGTTTGAATAGACTTTTAAAACTTTTCGATTTATAAAGCCTTTTCCTCTTTTAGAGTTTGATTCTAAACATTTCGAGAGCTTATAGAATACACAACGGAAGTCTTGACCTCTTTTAGAACGATTGGTTTACACATTTTCTTTTTATAGAAATAATGGCTTTCTATTTGTAGTAAGTTGACCACGGGTTGTTTCAAGGATCATCTGTGAAGTTGGACTGATAAGAGTTCTTACAACATTTGTGGAAAGCTGGAGGAAGCTGCAGTTCTTACAAAAGATACAGAGCTGGACGACAACTTAGCAGTGCAATGAGTGACAAGCTGCTGCTAGTGTATAGTTAAGCAGCTGCTAAGTAAAGAACTTGAACTCTTTTTTATTTGGAATAACAAACTTTAGCAAGATATAAAGGGAGTTCAAAAGGGATATAAGAACCTCAATATGAATTAGTTTGCTTTGGTGAGAACTCTTTTGACAAACTTGTATTCACCTTAATTGGGTATACAAACTGGGTTTGTATTGGTGCAGTTTAGATACCACTTAGAGAAGTTGTTTGTTGAAAAATAAGATTTGTATGACCAAAGATAATGAATGTGTGTTTGGGTGAACTTAGAAAGTAATGACACAGTGAGTTATCCTGGTTCAGAGGTGGTGTAATCCTCCTAGATCCAGTCTCACCTAATTTCAGATGGTTTTCCATTAAGTTATTTAACACAATACACATAATGCCCGATCTAGTCTTGATCACAGGCTAGATCATCGGGTTTTCACAAGAAGTTTAAACACCATTCCAAGCTACTCTATCCTTAGGCGTTTCACTAATGAACCCAACTGATTCAGAAGCTACTCAGTCCTATTTTACCCATACTTTGGATACCCTCTAAAGATTTACAGTTTGTTGATTACAAAGTGATTCTAACCTCCCAACTAAGACTAAGCTCTAAAAATATATCTTTTGAATGAACTAATCTAAGAGCTTACTAAGCGTGAGTGAGCTTAGAGCGAAGTGATAGATTAACACTTTCTCTTTGCTTGATCTTCGTATAACCTTATGTCGATTGCTCTAGCTCACTTGCTTCTTCAGCTTCACACTTCTTCTATATTTTATAGATCATTTGATGTTGAATATCTCCCGTTGATTGAGGAGATTGAATCTTTATCGTTGATTGATCCACTTGATTTGACTATTGAGGAGTATGAACTTCTTTTGTCTTCATATGGCGTATATGTATCCCTTTTTGTATTTATGATGTTTTCTTTTGGACTGTAATTTGCTGGTCTGGCTTGGTCAGTTTAAATCTGGTCTGGTAAATGTCTAGTCTCTGTGTATTTTGTAATTGTACAAGTTTAATCTGGTCTGGTCTGGTTTGTTTAAGTCTGGTCTAGTTTGATCTGGTCTGGTTTGAGACTGTAAACCGTCGAAAAGAAAACACCTTTATAATACCTCTTTACTGTAGTGAAGTATTTCGAGGAGTAAGAGTTGGATATACAAAAATCTTTCGCCGTATTTTCATTTTGATTTTCAGACAATTTTTTAGTCTTCCATAAATACTTCCGTCTCATGTAAATGATTTAGGCAATTTCTTCTTTTCCAATAATTCTAAGGTTCATGAAAAATATGTAAGGCCATAAACTTCGTGCGTAATGAGTAGCAGTTATTTCTTTGGCCTTTTACTTTTACATTTTTCAGAATTATTATGGTTTCAATCAAAAGTAAAACCTATGATTTTGACTTTGCTTCAAGAGAGAAAGTTGTAGAGAAAACTGTGTTGATTAACTTTGGTTTGACTAGTGGGGTTGGATTTTGAGTGTTGGCAGTCCGCTAGTTTTGGTTTTGACAGTAGGCTTGGTGAGTTCACTAGAGGCTGCTAGTGAACAAAAATCCAGCTAACTCTTTTCGTACATTCTCTTTTTCTTTTGATACGTTTTTTTCTTTTTAGTACTCTTCTTATTTTTGTTTTCTTTTTGCATGAGTAGTTTTCTTCTTTTGAGAATTTTTAGCAACGGACATTACAAATTACATCAAACCAAATTTGCTAGTCTAATATATGTGCATCATCAAAATTTAGAGGGACCTAACATGAAATAACCAGATTTGATGTTAACTAGCATGCTGTTTATAAATTTCTCTTTCTGATAACTACCAAGTACTCCGTAACATATCGAGTTATGGAGTATAATTTTATTAGTTTTTGGAACTATCTAAATTACTTTTTCTATTGCCTATTTACTAATGAATATAGTAGATTGGGTAGGATTATTGTGGTCATTTTATACAGGAATCATTTCAAACACATATATTGGGTCTTACTTGCACTTATCCTATTTCACATTTGTTTGGTCAAGTGAAATGGTAAAAAATAGGAATAAAGTTTACAGTCTGATACTCATCTCCATGGTCTTTAGTTCACTGCACATATATTTGACTATTATTTTAGGCGTTTGGTGACAATTATACGTTTGCTTTGAAACGTATTCATTTGGAGTGGGAACGAAAAATGAGGCAAATGAAAAAATTCTTCTGTTGATAGGAGAAGTGAGAAATCACAATGGTGGGTCAAGACGGTCTTTTTATGCTTTCTTTTAGAGCCATGCTTGGGAAAACAGAATTTAAGCTGTTTATGTATAGTTTAATAATTTTCAATAAGGAAATATATCTTAGATGATAGGTTGTAATTGGGTGAAAAAGATCCCTGAAATTTCAAGTGATTTAGAGAAGTTAATGGTTTGGAGTTTGTGATTATTGTTTTCAATAACTTAGTTCACGTGTTTCTAATTTATCTTAAAACTGATTTTTTGTGCATCCAAACAAAACTGATTACTTTAAAATTACCTTTGAGCCATTTTTACCCAAACAAAAACTGATTTTGTTTGATGGATTATTAATATAATCGGTCAGTGAAGTAATATGGTTTTCAGCTATCTCATGAGGGGATGGTCCAATTGTGGGAGATCTTAAGTTCAAGTCAAATACAAAAATTAGGGAGTTTCTCCCATTGATGACCCTCTAGCTTTCTGAGACTTAGCTTAGCCAATCGCTTAATCTACGTTTAGTCTTGCACTCTTTCAAGAGTTGCCCTGAGAACCGAGAACACGCTGTGCTCAGAGGCATCTCCTTCTGTGCAGAGGCACAAACAGAGCATTGGAAAATTGGATAACAAGCTAAGCGACTCAAGATTCTGCGCATGGGTCTGCTTATTGGGAGACCAAAACTAGCCTGACAAAGTTGGAAACAACTGGTTTATAAAAAATGAGACATAGTGGGGAAATATATTTTTGAGCAGATCTCTTTTACCAAACAGCACTCAATAACAATCCTATATGCAAGTTAGGAAAACTAGGGGTTCCCATTTCAGGTTAAGTTGGTTATTTCTTTTTTCTTTGTTCAAATTTCAAACTGGTTTAAAACAGTTCCGAGAAATGGTTACTTGAATTAAAACTAAATTATATTGGTCTTCCAATATCTTATACGGTATGCCATATGAATAAGAAATCAATATAGTGAATATGTAATAGAATATGATTCAACTGCATAGCATCTTATTCAAGGAAGAGTGACTCCTAGATGAGTTGAACAAGCAATTTCTGGTCTACTTGGGTCTCAGGTACACTTGGGCACTTTGCTTCAAAGAGCACACAGCTATGAGACTTCATCTCATATGTAGCTAATGCATCCTTAACCGGAGTTCCCTCCTCACTAAAAAACCTTGGAAAATGAAGCGCAGTATCCACCAGGCAGTACCACACCATGCTTGCTGGTGGTGGGGGGAGAGTAATGCTCTCTGAATGGTCAGCGCCATTGAAGGCAGCAAATAGGTGTCCAGGTATGCCATCAGCAGAGCTTGTTACAATTTCTTCAGTCTTTACCTTCAAATTCATAGCCAGGAATTTGTTGGGCGGCTCAGCCCATCTAGGTGGCGATTGGTCACTCCCATGCCACTCAATGCTCTCTTCCTCCAAGAAACTTCTTTTCTGGAGAAGGTCACTTCTTCTAGTCCTTAACTTGCTCAAGAATGAAATAAATTGTGTTGTCTGAACACCAAAACCAGTTGTTAAAGCATTCCAGTCAAAAGGTTTCCGAGCGTCATGTGCAGGGGAGCCCCCTGAGGACTGACCGCACTCATCTCCCATGTTAAGAACTGGAACTCCCAGAGAAATAAACAATATGAAAAGAAAATTGCGTATCTGTTTAAGTCTGCTTTCAAGGACAGCATTTTTGTTTGTTGGGCCTTCCACCCCACAGTTCCAGCTTAATTCTGAGGCCAGCTCAGGTCCACTAAAGCTGACCAAATCGACAAGAGAAAGTCCAAAGTTTGTAGCAATATAATTGAAAGAGAATGCAGGGCCACGTCCACTAGAGAAGACATCACCGCTTCCACAAAGCCGCGTGGCCAGGTTGCTTAAAGAACCGGTACCTCTCAAAAAGTCCCTAACATCATTGTGAAATTTAGTATTCATCTCTGCCCATCTCTTCCAATGAGGGAATATAAGTTCTTTCGATGTATTTTCAACAGGGTCCCAAAAATCTGCAATCAGCTTTACATTGGAAAGTAAAGGATCAAAAGCAATGGCCTCAACCAAAGGTGGGCGAGACAGGAGCTCACCGTGGGACCCACTTGTCAAGGAAGAAGCATTGAGAAAACAAAAACCATCAATGTGATACTCTACCACCCAATGACGGAGACTGTCCAAAATCAGTTGTTGGACAGGAGGGTAATTGCAATTCAATGTATGTGTAGATTGTGTGTCCTGATCACCTTCAAGACAATAGTAGGAAGATCTATCAATATGCAACAAAGATGCACTCTCTGCCGTGTGAGTGAAAACAACCTGAAGAAAAACCTCTATCCCATTGGCATGGACTGTCTTAACCATCTCTTTCATCGCATTAATAACTGATGAAGGATTACCATTAGGTCCCAATGACTGTGCAGGTGAAAAGAAGTGCAGTGGAAAATATGGCCCTTTCTGTTGATCAAAGGGGAAGACAGGGTCTAATAAGATTGCATTGACACCAAGATCCTTGAAATGCTGCAGTTTCTCTGTAATACCAGAAAACGTCCCGGCAAGGTGAGTGGGTAACTTACTGGAATCGTCCTTAGTGAAATTATGCACATTCAAATGATAAACTATAAGATTCTCCATTGGTATGCTAGGTCTTATATCATCGCTCCAATCAAATTCAGGTTCCTCACATAGTTGTCCAAGAAATTTTGGATCTATGACAGACCCTTCCCTGGGAAGAATATATTCACCAATGATCTTTGCATATGGATCTAACAGAAGACCGTGTTCAGTCTTCCCAGCAGTTTCCGCTTTGCAGCGATAACCATAACCCACAAATGGCAACGGACCGTCTATTGAGACATGCCAAACATGGCCAGTTCGATTTACATAAGGATCTAAATCAAGCTCTATAGCAGGCTTCTCTTTTCTAACGTCATCATACAAGCACAAGACTACACTCTTAGCACTGCGGGAGAGGAGTGCGAAATTAACAGATCCATCTGAGAGAAAAGATAAACCCATTGGAGCGGGATGACCAGAACTAACCCCAATTGGTATAACAAAGTTTGTATTTCTGTGGCTTTTGATTTCTATGTTGCTAATTCCAGAAGTCATTGAAGACTTCAAGAAGAAAGACATGTAGAAAGGGGCTAAACTGGGTTCAAAATCCAATGCAACTTCAAGATCGCCTGAAGATTTAAGTTCAAACACTGTTTCTATAGTATTCTGAGCATCACGTGTCCCAAAACTTTGCGAGTCCAAAGGCATAAAAGATTTGGCATCAGATCTAAATAATCCCCAAACCATAAACAGTTCCTCAGACTGTCCACTGTCAAACTCTAATGATAAAACTTGGACTTTTACCGTATACATACTGTTCCTCTTTTCAACACATACCTTCACTAGACCATTGGTATCGGTTCTGAAGAGGTACTTTGATACTTGTGTTACAGTTTCTATCACAGAAGTATCAGGTGTCGCTGCCGACACTGCATTTAGTCTGCCATGTTTATTAAACACTTTTTGAGTAAAATTTCCACCCTTGAAGTAGAAAATGGTATCTACTGTTACTCTTCCACGGTGGTAAGAACGGGGGCAAGCAACCGACTTAGTCGCCTGAGCATTTCCACGGCGGAGGTAGTGTGGTTGTGGCACGGATACTAAAGGCAAAGTCGCCATTTTGGACAACACGAGATGTGATATAAGAATTATCAAGCCAAAAAGTAGAAACTTTTTAATCAATCATCTGAAGCTCAATCACTAATCCTGCCGAAATGAAGGTCGGAAAATTAACTTAATTAGGTAGTACTTAACAGACGTTAGAAAGACATCAACTAGAGGCCAGACCTCGGGAGAAACCGCGCGGCGGACATAGGAACACTTGGACAGGATAACAGCGTCTTAGCCAAAACGCTAATCATTTTAAACGAGAAAACACTGCATTTATGAGCGTGTAGCACCCAAAATGCTAGAAAACAAACGGGAGCATTATGTATGAAAAATTCAATGTCAACACACAATAAATATGTGTATGAAAACTCTGGATTTGTGTACATAGAGATATATCATTAATATTAATTTTGGGTGTGAAAATTTTAAGTTAAATTTTGTGGACATTCATTGTGAATGAACTAATTTTATAGACAATCATTATAAAAAATATGTCGTATGTTTTTCTTTTCTTTATGCTCCCATTGCCTTTTGCTTTGGCTTAGGACATGATATGTTTTGTTAAATTGAATTTGGCGTTTTATTATGATCTCTTAAGTTTATTTTAATCTTTTTCTTTAAGTTTGGTCCCAGTTTAGACTAAGAATGTTTTTACTTTGGACTGTAATTTGCTGGTCTGGTCTGATTTCTTTGTATTTTTATAATTATCAAGTCTGGTCTGGTCTGGAAGGAATTACACTTCAAGTAAAAACATACTAAAATATACCAATTATTATGAAAAACATGACCTTTTTTAACAAAGAAAACATGATCTTACTTGCAGTGAAATAGCTCATTTGGTTCATGAATATCTTGTTGTGATTGAATCCTTTCATCTATTTTCCTTTTGCACTAAAACAATACTGCGCTTAAAACTACCATTAGACTAGGTGGTGGATTCAAAGTGCAACAATGCCACAACCTAAAAAGGCTTTAAATTTTATACTTTTCAACCATAAAAAATAAAAATCAGTCCGTCTATCTGAAGGCTCTTCCTTTTCGAACCCACTGCTAGGAAATTTGCTATGGAGATTGCCTGATTAGTTTTATTTAAAAAGGGAAAATCAACGTAACATAACAACTTTTTGGGAAGAAACATTTAGGTGATTGCTGTAGTAAAGTCAAACCAGGAAGGTTTGCTTGATACACAAGAAGCAAATAAGAGAAGAGAGCGAGCTTTCCTTGAGTTGAAGGCATCCGAGCCCCATTACTTTGTGATTCTATCTTTACTTTTCTTCCTTCCTTGTATATTCTCTTATATTCCCATTCTTTCTTGCTCCCTTGTTTATTACTAATAGGCTTGTATGGCTTGGGTAAAGTAATCATTCTCCATAAAGATATCTCTTTGGCATCTGGGTTTGCTTTCATTTCCTCTTTTCGATCTCCACTTCCTTTTAATCTCCCTTCTGCCCATCTTTCTTTTTGTATGTATATGTCATTCTTCTCTTAAAAAAGTTACCTTTTCCACACAGTTTTTTCTTTTCACCTTCTCTTCTTCTTATTCTTCTTCCTACCACCATCATCATTTCTGCCATGTTGTGTATTTGATTCTTTGCAACTTCATTTTATGGTTGGAGAGCATATTTTGGAAAAAGCCTTTACTTTTGTATTTGATACAGAAAAGAGCTTTGACATATTTGAAAGGTTAATTTTGTTCCTTTGAGAATCTTGTTTATCGTCTCTGAGTTATATGGAGGAAAAGTGTCTTTCAGGTTTAGGATGTAACAATAGTAATCTTTCTTCTGTATTTGTGACTCAAGACAGATGTTGAGCAAGTTTTGGTTTACACAGCTTTTGTTTTTTTTCAACTGCTGAGCATATCTTTGGATTGCTTGTGATGGTGAGGAGTTTCTTGTTTCAGGAAATTTGAAGGACTGTTTACCTGGTGAATCACTGGTCTATAAATTACAAGTTGCTCACCAAGGATGGGTGACCACTTTGTTTTTCTGGTTGATCATCTTCTCACAGAATCAACTCTTGAGACTGCAATTCAAAGCAGGAAACCGAAACAGGCGGTTCAGTCTGGGGTGGAGGAGGACATAAGTCGGGCATGCTTGGATTCCGTAGCGGGTATGCCGCTAAGGAAGATAGTTGAGTGCAGGATTTGTCAAGATGAAGATTTGGCTTCAAATATGGAGACTCCTTGTTCTTGCTGTGGTAGCTTGAAGGTTTGGATTCTACTTTTTTTTTTACTTTGTTCTTGTAAGATATGCACTAAAGTTGTTGACAAAGTTCTGGGTTTTCAAGTAGGCAGCAAATAACTAATTGGTGTATGACTACATGAAATGGCACCACTCCACTTTCTATTAGAACAGTAAAAAGTTAATTAAATCAAGGGGAAAATAATTAAAATACCCCAAACTTTGAAGAGGTGTGAGGTAGACACTCTAAACTTTCATATGTAATTTAAATACCCCAAACTTTATATAAAAAGTTATTTAGGCACCATGGTCATGCATTATTTCTTTCAAAAATGTAAATTTATGATGTTAATTGCATAATTTAAAATAACAAACTAAAAACGTTGTACTTATATAGATTGGGGATAATATTATTTATTTCACAATGGAAGTTAAGAATGTTAATTGTGTCTTCATGAATGCTAAAATATTTAAAATTATGCAAATAACACCATAAATTTACATTTTTGAAACAAATAATACTTGACTATGGTGTTAAAATAATTTTTTATATAAAGTTTGGGGTATTTAAGTTACATATACAAGTTTGGGGTGTTTATCTCACACCCCTTCAAAGTTTGGAGTATTTTAATTATTTTTCCCTTAAATCAAATATGTATTTATATCTAAATAATTGTGAGGTATATATATATATATATATATATATATATATATATATATATATATATATATATATATCTTCTCTTATATATAATACTTTACTTTATCCATCCTATAATTAAATTCACAATTTAACTTTCAGAGTTTTCAAAGTCGATCTTTGGCTGCTAATTTTTAAGATTATAAAATTATAAAGTCTAAGATAAGTTAATGTTTTAATAATACTTTAAAATAAAGTAAACAAAATTACTTTGTGTTATAAAGTAATACTCAGTATGATTTTTGAGTAATTTATAGTTGAAATTTATAAAATTTGACTCAAAAATCAAAATACGGACTTAATTGTGGGATAGATAAAGTATAATTTAAGGATTTATTCCATCTTTATAAATTTGTACTACGTATTTTATTGTACTAAAAAAAGTAGAAAACTATATATGTTCTCTAACATATATTTCAATGGTACATTTAATTATTTTAGTTAAATATGAAGTGCCTTCTTAAATTAAATCATCTAATAATTAAGGCCGTTTTGTCCCTTTTCATTATAAGCTCTATTTTGTACTCTTGTTTGCCAATTCACAATGATAATATATACTCAGCTCGTACTATTGTTTTTCTGTCTACTATAATTTGGCGCGTCTATTATTCATGTTTCGGTTTTATTATATCTTATTATTACTTACAATAAATAACAACTGAATTCTTCTTTAATAATTTCATCTGATTATTGTTAAGAAAAACTGCTTCAAAGTTTTAGAAAAGAAACTGGAGAGTGGTCATCCTTGTTGCACTATCATAAACTTTGATTCTATTATAAATTGGGAGTGATATTATGTTTGCATGGAATCAACCCCTTAGGCCTTCCACCTGTTGGTGAGCAAGTTCAATAAATAGAAATGGAGCGTTCTTGTTTCATGTTCTTTTAAGTGCTCATATAGTTATTAATTTTTTACAAAAACAGAATTACAAAAACTGCAGTTGCTTTACTCCTCTATCCTTTTTATTTTGCTTTCAGTATGCACATAGAGACTGTGTACAAAGGTGGTGCAATGAGAAAGGGGACACGGTGTGTGAGATATGCCGACAGGTAAGCCCTTTGTTTATTTAGTTCTTTCACTCATCAAGGGATTGTTTTAGGTCTTAATGCGACTTGTCTTGGGGGTCATTTGCGCGTATGATCAGGATGACTCTCTTAGGATTGTGTTATATAATTTGTTACTTGAAGCTTGAAACTGTACTACTTTTGAGGTTTTAACATGACCTGATTCATAGATATAACTTTTAAATCTTCAAGGAAGCATGTTGTCAGCTTTTCGTAGAATTTTCTATAATTCTTGCCTTCGAATATGGAGAAATGTAGATGCACTTGGAATGTTATAGAGTAGAGATGTTATTATGAAGTGTTCTGAAAATCACTCTTAAGTCTTAACCATTACATCAAGATAACTAGTTAACTACCTGTTCACAATTTTCTCTGAGAGTTCTCTTTCCTACAGCTCTTTTCTTAACCTATAACACGCAACGCTAGTTGGTTAATGAGGATGGCTTAGCTACTTCACTAGGCAGAAATGGGTTAAACACCATACATGAGCTTATGGAGAGAACAAGCCTATACATGAGCTTATAGAGAGAACTAGTCTGTAACAATTAGCTCTGCCTATTTGTTAGAGAAGATCAATGGTTTAGTCCAGTAACTTATATTTGTGTCCAACTCACTACTAGATCTTGTCATCTAACTAATAACTTTACCCATATTAAGAACTTTTTACCCTTTACAGTGGGAAGTCCTAATCTGTCATTTTTTAGTTACAGGCCACCATGTGCACATAAAAAGAATTACAAGACAAATCATGAGCACATAAGTTACATGACTAAAAAAGCAAACTTCTTTATCTATTATAACTTTTCAGTTGATTTCCTTTTTTGCTACAGAATTTCCAGCCTTGTTATACAGCACCGCCTCCTCAGTTTCGCCCTCGGAATCTGCCTACAAGCTCAAGGTATTTCTACTTTATAGAATCTATTATTTATTAAGAAGGAAAGTGACCAACTTTGCATCTTCAACACACCAAGCTTCGTTACAATAGTACATTTGTGTGCATGTTGTTTCTATCAGGGGAAATTGGGGAATTATTACTAGAAGAGAGTTGAGTAATCGTCATCTGGTCGCAGTGGTGCCGAGTGATCAGAATTTCTCCAATTCTGCCTATGATGATTATGCAATCTCTTCATCGAGAAGCATATCATGTTGCCGTTCAATTGCCATTATAGTAAATCTTTCTTTCATCCACAAAGCTAACAGTTCAAAACAAATTTCTACAATACCTTGGGTTTTAAGCTTTTTAACCTGAATGATTTTTAGGGAATGCGAACATTTTCCAGCACTTGCTTTTAACACTACCTAAATGAAAGTACACTCAATATCATGTTTACATTCTCTAAACCTTGAAATTTAATCATATTTACAGGGGAGTTAACTTTTTTAACATTTGTCTGAGATATTGATATCAATACTAGTGTGCTTTTTATTTCATTGATGTCAAAGATCTTACTCTTAAGAGTTATTTGCCATTTATCAAGACATGATTCTCATCTTAAGAAGTCAATCTGATATGTTATATTTAGCCGATGTAGCATAAAATCTTGAACAGTTATATCATTAGAATAATAAGCCTAGTGTACTATATGTTGGCTTAGTTTCCATGCACCATCCTTATCTGATTACAAAATTGTATGCATCTATTGGCAACAAGTAATCAAGTATAAACTATCTTTACAGTGTGTGATTCTTCTGGTATTACGGCACACTCTTCCAATCATAGTTAGTCAAGACGGGGACTATTCCTCCCCTTTGGTAATTGTAAGATGCAAGCAATTCTACTACAGATGGTTAAATTTTCATAGATTGATGATAGATTATATTCTGAATTTCTTATTTGACATTTCATACAACAGTTACTGCTTCTAAGAATCACTGGGATTGTTCTCCCTGTCTACATTATATTCAAAGCAGCGACGTCTTATCTCCGCCACATTTATCATCAGGTTCATACATCCACAGTTTTTTTTTCTACAAATAAATTTTGAACCAAAAAAAGTTTTTGTACCATCACCTTCACTCACTCAGAGACTTATTTTGTTCTACGAGGGACAATTTACTTGTCCCTGAACTGAGACAGGAGTTTTTGCCACTTTTGGTCCCCCAACTATTGTGTCACACTTTTGGTACTCGACTTTTAATTTTTCCATTTTTAGTCCTCGACTATTGTGCGAGAGACACTTTTAGTCTCCGATTTTCAATTTTCCCACATTTAGTCCTTTGAGTATTATCAAATTGACAATTTTAGTCCTTCTACTATGATTTTGACACAATAAGTGAAGGACTAAAAATGTCACTATTGCAATAGTTGAAGGACCAAAAGTGTCACTTTTACAAAAGTCGAAGTACTAAATACGAAAATTTTTAAAGTCGGGTACCAAAAGTGTCCCTCTCACTATAGTCGAGGACTAAAAATGAAAAAATTAAAAGTCGAGTACCAAAAGTGTCACTGACACAATAGTCGAGGGACTAAAAGTGGCAAAAAAAACTCACTGAGACAACTTTGAAAACACAAAATCTACTCTGTGTGGTGGTGGTGTACTGTGTACACCATGGTGTAGCGTTGTTGGTTTTCAAACTGGCCCATATTTAACTCAACTGCTTAAACAAAATTTTTAAAAAGTCTCTAAACAATAATTATTATATTGAGAGTGACAATGCAAAAATGAAACAATTTATTTAGGATTTTTAAAAAAATGTAACCTATGCAACAAAATAAAAATTACTACGTATTTTGTTTTAAAAACTTTAACCTAAATAAAAATAAAAAATTTATTGTGCTAATGCTTCTTTTTATTACTTTCATATGACAAAGTTAATATATTACTATACAAAACATAAGTTAACTTTTTCATAAAATCATAATAGGGAGCATGTAACCCAAAATATTTTTTTATATAGGTTACAGTTTTAAAGCAAAATAATTTTTCATTTTTAATTTTCCATTTCCCCCACTCAATATACTAATTAAATTAATTACTTGTGGTGATTTTTCAATATATTTGTTTTAACATTCACGGTCGCTAAGGGCCAATTTGCCCTGTGATGGAAACAGTAGGGCCATTCTTGCACCTTAATGATATGCTAAGAAAATATATGCATCTGCAAATAAACATTAAGAGGGTATTTGCACAATTTCCCATTTTCAAATGTATTGTTTCTAGTTTCTATCTAGTAACATTTTTGTTTAATTCATATGCTTTATATGAACAGGCTAGTATGCCCATTTCTCCTGATGAAGAATCTGGATACTACTAGCTGGTGTTGTGAGTGCCATCAATATTCATCAAACCTCTCCTTGTATAGCTAATCATTTCTACTGAAACAAGCCAGCTTCCCGCTATTGCACTGAAATGTTTATCTGCTATCAATTTGTTCAACAATATATGGCTTTGGGGTAGAAATTTGTTCAACAAAGTGGGAAGCATGAATACTGTAGAAGAAATAGCAGGTTTATGGGTCAGAAATGGAGAAGTCTATTTATAGATCAGATGGTATCAGAAGGAAAAATAAGTAAGAACATGTGGATGATGGATCCTAGGTGTCGTGAAATGGTGATACAGAAATGTACAGCTTAGCATAGGTGCTAAATCATAGTCTTTTGTATATAAAACAGAACATATCAAATATATGGGCCAAAAGAAATTGTTATTTTAATCTCCTGAATACCAAGCTAATCAAACATCAGAGGTGAGACTTTAAATAACTCAAGTTTAGCCATTGTATATCTGTTGCAAGTGATGGAAGTCAAACCACACAAGTACACAGCATTCTCACCCAAAGTGACACAAAAAATGATCACATTTGTTTTTGTTGCTTTTTGTTCTTTTTTTATTATTATTAAGGCTCAACTTTGTTCACAAACACTTACTTCAATCAACCACAAATCAAGTCCAACAGCTCTAATCTAATAACAATTGCGAAGCGTAGCGGGCAACCCTGAAAATGCTATAGTGGTATAGCGGGAGGGCTGCTACCGCATCTGGTCTTCCACTAAAGTGCCACCCTACAACCGCTCCGCTATTATCGGGACCTCACACTAACATTAATTAGCTGGATTAGCTTCTTCATAAATGTGGTTATATGAGGAGCTATGAGGAGTGCCCTCAGCGTGAGATAATCAGCATAGAAGAGGTCTTGTAACATTTATTAGAAAGAGGAGTGCCCTTATCGGGACCTCACACTAACATTAACTTGTCTGATACTATAGAAAAAGGCATCAAATGTACAATCAGCATACTATCCTATAGTAGACTTTTTTAGTTTGTGAGATTGATTCATTGTTTGAAATGAGATTGATTCTTGTAAAGTCAAAAATTAAATATAGGGTGTATGTCCAAAATTACATATAGTGAGGATAGAGTCGATGACACTAGTGGAAAGGAATATGGTCTAGAAGAGGTCTTGGCCCTCACAAAATTTATTGTTATATATATATAAGTATTGTATTCTTGTCCGCTTTCTCTTTTTGGCATCGATATCATAGATCGATTCATGTTAGTCGACCCCAAATTCTTTTGGGATTAAGGCTTGGATGTTGTTTGTTGTTTGTTATATATAAGTATTGTTGGATATATTATCTCGGCTTACTACCGATCACAAGCCCAACGCATTACCCTCATACGAAGCCCGTTCAGTGAGGCCCATTTTAGCACATACGGCCCAGTTCAGTCTGTTAGGGCTATTCGGCCCAATAGGTTAGCTTTTTACCCCCTTTTCCCCTTTTTCTATAAATAGGAGGACTTCCCTCCATTTTGGGGGTTCCTCTTCTTCTTCTCCACTATACTCCATCAATGATTTCCAAGGCTTAATAATTGTATTAAAATGGTGTGAAGTGTATTAATAAAATGAGAATGACTTAAACATTAACCTGAAAAGTCTTGTGATTTTCACTCTGTCAGGTTTCCACATAAAAACCAGGTGTTTATACATATTTCTATAGTTTTATACATTTATTTACCATTTCGTGTTGGATTTATCTCAACAAGTATACAACAACAACATAACATCAAAGTAAAGAAGCAGAAAACTCAGACATACACACCCATATATTTAATGGAAGACTTAACTTTATTGTAAACCTAACCTGAAACCTTGCAATGGGAGTAAAAGTATATAAACGTTCTCCAGCAGTGACGAACGGACCTTAGTAGAGAGGCTCAGGAGGTCACAGCCCCTATTTTTTTATATGAGAAAAATAAAATTGTCCCCCCACTCTCCAAAAAAATATTTGACTCCCCAAAATATAAGTAAATGTGAAAATTTCTTTCCCAAATTTTAATTAAATGTTTACTACAACAACAACAACTAAACCTTATTCTCAAACGATTTTGGAGCCGACTAATATGAATCGATCCATGATATTAGAACCAAAAAGAGAAGAAAGATAAGAAGAATAAAAAGATAAAGTAAGATAAAATGTATAAAATAAAGATAAGTATAAAATAAAAATAACAAAGAGTATATGAAATATAACATCTCAAAAGACAAAAGAACATAAGAAAGATAAAATATAAAAATAACATAATAAAAACATAAAAAGATAAAGAAGATGAGAGAGAGAGAAGAGAGAGAAAGGAGATCAATCGTTCACACGAATATGCCCTCTCCGATTTGCTCACTCCAAAGTCATACTCTCATCCAAGATAAGAAGAAGCATATTCGTTCTGATACCTCTAATCCAAGTCACTTTGTGTCCTCTTCTCTCTCTCTCTCTCTTCCCCTCCTCTTCTCCCTACCTCTCAAGTCGTCTAACAGGTGCTCCATTCGGTCTTCTGCGCACTTAATAAAACCATTGCAATCGACTCTTGCATCTTATCTTCTATATGTGCTACTCTCACCTTTTATAAGATTATCTCATTCCTCAAACGGTCTTTTCTGGTATGTTCACATAATCAACGCAACATACGCATCTCTGTCATAGTCGCTTTTGAATGTGACATTGTTACACCGTCCAACATTCTACGCCATACATTATTGCAGGGCTAATTGATGTCCGATAAAATTTACTTTCAGTCTAGTCGGCATACCTCGACCACATAGAAATCCTGATGCACTCTTCCATTTCATCCTCCTTCTCTGATTCAATGAGATACATCTCTATCTAATTCACCATCCTAATGAATTATGGAGGCCAAGTAACAGAACATATCACACATCATGTCATCAAGGGTAATCCCACTATTACAACTACTTCTACCTCCACCAAACTTGCACTCCATATACTCAGTCTGGCTTTGACTCAGCGTGAAACCTTTGTTCTCCAATGTATGTCACCATACTTTCAACTTTGCTTTTACATCTGATTGTGACTCATCAATCAATACAATATCGTCGACAAACATCATGCACTACGATATTTTTCTTGAATTGACTTCATAAGTTCATCCATGACTAGCAAATAAGAAAGGACTATGATCCTTGATGCACTCCGCTAGTAATAGGGAACTCTATAGTCCTTTGTACCCTAATACGGACACTTGTAGTACAAGCCTCATAGTAAAAAATGAAAGAAATAGAAAAATAGAAAATAAAAGTTAAAAAGTGACACAAGGTCTATATGAACCTATTTAATGATTGTGTATTTTTTAAAGCCTTTTTTATGAATATTACTAAATCAAATAAGAAAGACAAAAATATGACTTGTTGTTAAGTTTTCCAAAAAAGTGACTAATCATACATTTAGTGTCCTTTATAAATATTGCATTTATTTTAGTATTACATTAATTATAATTTAAAAATACTCCCTCCGTCTTATTTAAAGGTTCTCGTCCACTATTCTCCTGTCAACGCGCATTGTTCTTAATCTTTTACTTTATATATCAAAAGTTTATGAAATTTAAATTATTTTTGCAGGTTTTGTAGCGGTTTTAATATAGTTTCTGAATATGTAAATTTTATTTACTAAAAATAATTCCATTAATGACAAGGATCAGTTAACTTTATGGTCAGTCAAACATCGTAAACCGCATGAGAATCTTAAAGTGGGACGGAGGGAGTAATAAATTGTTCAGACAACACTACTAGCATAACTACCGCATACACCGCCACCGCCATCCAGTGATTTTGCCACAAACGCAGTCCAGTGACTTCATCGGCCCATGTGAGCCGGTGTATACACCTGCATCCAGTGACCCCATTACCACCATATGTGTAGTCAAGTGACTCCATCACAAGCGTAGCCCTATGACTTTACAGCCCCTAATAATGACTATGTCAGTCCAGTGACTCCAAGTGACTGTTGGCTAGTAAAACGTCGTCCAGGAACAACTGGCCGCCACTAACCCGCACATACACCGACCGCCAGTGACTTGCTCACACCATGACCACTTCGCTCAGTGATCACCAACCCCTACCCTCATCCTGCCCAACCTTGCATTGCCTCGACCCTCTGCCACTACACATGTTGGGGATTTATCATCGCCACCTACACTGGCCGAGAGCTTCCAACAAACAGTTTCTTATCTCTTCCACTCCGGCAACTTCCGACGGCAAGATAGAGCCTGGTTGTTGCCCTCTTTTACTCCGGAAGTTGGGTCCTTCGTGTCATGTTTAAATGGTCTTTTGTCACAGTTCTGCGCCCTCATTGTAACGAGTTCATAGAAATGCCTGCAAAAAAAATAACAAGAAAGACAAAGGCTTGAGACGCGTAGTCGCTGTCCTCAGAGAGTATTTTTGGTGGACGAAAATATTCCCCCAAGATATAATAAGCCCTTCGGCAAGTCACCAGACATAGAATTACAAGGATAGAATGAATAGTAGGTGACCCAACAGCGTTGAGGCTAAAAAGTTTCTTGCAAAGTACTATCGTATCTAATATTGCTCTCCAAAATGTTTTAAGGTAAGTATGTTGAATGGAGGTGAAGCATGCATATTATATATCAAAATGAAATTGTTGGTGATCCTATTAAAATGGAGAAATAAAAGGAGCGCCAAGTAACGTGCAATCATTGGTTACTTCAGTTCTATGTTGTTAAACAAAAGAATAGATAGCCTTTCAGTTACTTTAGCGTTAAAACATTTATAAAAAATAATATGTTTATTCGAAACACATTTAAAATTTCCAACAACACATTGACCCGCTCCACCATTGCAGCGCTCCCAACACCTCCACCCACCAATCCCACCCTAGCCCCTCCCCAGCCCCACCATAACTGCCCCATCCGATCCCCCACTACCCCCAATCCCAGCCCATGCAGAACTACCCCAGCCTCGCTATAGTCCCCCAACCTCAACCCCCAACCCTCTCCTACCCCAATTCAACCAGACCCGTCCTTACCCCAACCCTTACCTAGCCTCACCCAGCCCGATACCAAGCAAACCTGCCCAACCACCCCAGATTTGGAAATAATATGCCCCAAATTCGATCAAGATTTTCGAGCACAATTGCTGATTGTGAACAAGAAAGGTACGGTCGTGTGGGCATCGGAGTTGCAGACAGAAGGAAGGACATGAAGATGAAGGAGTAGAGGCGGCAGCGACCGGTGTGCGGCAGATGTAGTGGGATGGACGGCAGAAGGGCATTACTGACGGAGGCTGAGCTTTGATGAAGTAGATGTTGAAAGAAAACGTAGTAGATTTAATGGGTTGAGATTTTATGAATGGAAAGGGATGTAATGGTATTAATGTGATAAATGGAAAGAGATTAAATATAATGATATTAATAGCAAAATGATATTAAATAGAAGGCAATAATTAATTTAATCCGGGTCACTCTTTTGGAGAAAAGAAAAAGAGTAGAAAGGCGATGTTTGTACACAACTTGTGCATACGTTGTACATGGTATAAAAGCTAAAA